AGGGCTGTTTGGCTTCGCTCTACCGCTTGGAGCCTGAGTATGCAGATTAACCGCCATCTTTTAGCTTCTATAATTGAAACATTGTATCTTTTGGAGCTGTTGCTTCAGGAGCTCAGAGCCCTGCAGCTGCAGGCGGGAACCTTGGTTTCCTCTATCGCTGGGGCAACCAAGCATCCTGTTCTCAGCTGCCTGGCTGCCTGCCGCCATCTTGGCTGACAGTTAATTTGCATATACTCACTGATTAGCCAATGAAAAGGGTAGCGGTCGTACGCTAATTACCATGTTTCTCTTTTATTAGTGTAGATAATCCTATATAATAAAAGGGTAATATGCAAATTGACCAAACAGCGGAACAACCAGTTGCTATGACACACACTGACCACCAGGGGGCAGATGCTCAATGCAGGAGCTGCCCCCCGGTGGTCAGTGCACTCCCACAGGGGGAGCGCCACTCAACCAGAAGCCGGGCAAGCGCAGCAGCAGTGGCAGGAGCCTCTCCCACCTCTGAGGCAGCACTAAGGAGCAGCAAGCAGGCGGGCGGTAAGGAGCAAGGGCTCCTGGACTATGAGAATGATGTCTGACTCCTGGCTTAGGCAGTCAGACATCCCTCTGGCAGGAAGTGGGCCTAAGCCAGCAGGCGGACATCCCCCAAGCGGTCCTGGACTGCGAGAGGGCGCAGGCTGGGCTGAGGGACTCCCGCCCACCCCACCCCCCCTCAAGTGCATGAATTTTTGTGCACCGGGCCTCTAGTTATATAAAAGGCTAACATGCAAAGTGTCCCCTTGGGAATTCGATGGGGAGAACGGGAGTTCGATCGCTCACTCACTATGACATGCACTGACCACCGGGGGCAGTGCGGAACACAGTGGGAGACCAGCAGTGGGTGGTGGTGGGGGGGCGGGGAACCTGATCAGCCCTGATAGCTGGCCAGGCCTAGGGACCCTACCGATGCATGAATCTCGTGCACCAGGCCTCTAGTCATGACATAAACAGATGGGGAGAGGGAAGGCATGTACTTTGAGGGGGAGACTTATGTCCCTGAAAATATGGCAGACAGACGCTCTGAGAACTTTTTTGGAACAAACCTGGACAGAGTTTATTTTTAAGCTATAAATAGATAGCTGAGCTAGCAAGAAAATAAGGGATTCCTGGGGCAAAAACAACCAGAATGCATAAATCCAGGAGGTTAACAGGACAGCTACCTGTCAGTTACACCAAGGACATTTATTAATCCCTCCTAGCCTAATTTCTGAGCTCTGAGTTTTCACAGGGTGGGAACTTTGATCAAGACCCAGAAAGAAAGCCCAGAACCCAAAAGGTGCCCCCGTCAGCGAAAGGGAGAACTTGACAAAAACCCTGCCTGGGAGAAGGAGGGTCCCTCTGAGACTGCACGTGCCTAGGTTTGCAGGGAGGGGTGAGGAGTTGGCACAGGGCAGGGTCTTCTTGGAGAATCATGTCCACAAGCTGTTGGTCCAAAAAGGCTGGAACAATTCACACGACCTGTGTGACTGGGAGAAACACAAGCCAGGAATTTTAGGCAACCCTAGTTGACAGTGGCCTCAGGTACCCGACAGAAGCCAGCACAGATTCTCTGGAAGAACACATTGAACCCCAGGCCTCAAGCCTCCCAATAAAGCTCTAAGACTCACGAGGCCACAATCCACGAACAGTTGGAGAAACGGCACTGTGATTAGAATCAGTAGAAACTAGAAACCAGTCAGACTTGGGAAGACTGATTATCAGATGCACAAGAGAGGAGTATGTTTGAAGAACCACAACAAGGAATCAAAATGGGACTGAGGATCAAGAGACTTCAGAAGTGACCAAGCAGATTGGAACAACCCAAACAGCTGTTGGGAAACATTTCGATTCCTGTAGCTTTCGTACTTCATGCTTTCGCCCTGTTTCTGCAGCTTTTATCCTTTGCCTCTTGCTCCTTGGCCAGTGCCTGTCCTGCAGCCCCTTCCCCTGCGCCCTCGGGCGAAGCTGCCCTTTCCCCTCCCTCCGCCAACAGGACTGCTTGCCTCTGGCAACACTTTCTGTCCTGCTTTTCCTCGTTCTCCACTGACGTTCAGCCTTTCCCCCAGTCCCATGACCACTGCACACCCACAGCAATCCCTTTGCTTTTTGTTCCAAGTCTTGCTCTGATTCCTTTTCCCTCTCAACCTTGGGATCAAAATTCAGGCTAGTACAGTGAGTTACCACTAGTAATTATGGTAGCTATGGGATCTCAGCCATCCCGTTTCATCCCTACGCTAAGGGAGGTAGGGGAATTTGTTGGCAGCTTATGCAATTCTACTTTGACCAAAAGAACCATTTTTTATTTACCTTCACAAGGTTCAAATCTGCCAGCTAATAAGATGGTTTCAAAGCAATGCAGTCTGGCGTTTCCTACCATGTCTTTAATGCTGGTGTCCGCGATATTTTAATAAGCAGTATTGAGCCCAGCTGGTGTGGCTCAGTGGTTGACCTATGAACCAGGAGGTCATGGTTTGATTCCGGTCAGAGCACATTCCCAAGTTGTAGGCTCGATCCCCAATAGGAGGCATGCAGGAGGCAGCTAATCAATGATTCTCATCATTGATGTTTCTATCTCTCCTCCCTCTCTGACATCAATAAAAATTTTAAAAAGTAATAAGCAGGTATCGAGTGCTCAGTGTCCCACAGCCACTGCTCCAGGGGCTTGAGAGTTGCAGGTCCACATGAGAGCAGTGGGAAGCATTTAAAAGCAAGTTCTGTAAATAAAAGCAATCTTCCTGCACATTTACTGAGCTATGGAAGTGATCAGACTCACTAGGTTCAGAAAAGAAAAATTAATCCCAAATCCTGTTCTCGGTGGCAAATTTGTCAAGAGGGGAAATAATTACCTCATTGGAGTCTCACCTACTTGATTCTCTTGAACTCGAGCTGTTTCAGCCTTGGGTTAGCAGGATATTGCGAGAGCCGGCCAACTTCCTAGAATGACCAGCTCTCGCAATATTTGAACACACACAGACTCACTTGCCTTAAGAAGTAAATACGAGTGGGTTACAGCAAAATGTGTAAGGCCTTTCATTCTGAAAAATGCCAGGGACCAAATATCCGGTTGAGACGTCAAGCCCCTCTCGTTCACAAACTACTGCATAGTTTCTGTGCAGGGGTTAGTTTAATTTCAGGGCCAAATCCTATTATTTTGTGTCTTGGTTTTGCTTTTTGGTCAAGGTGGTTTTTCCTAAGAAAAGGCATGCAAATTGGAGCATTCTGATCTGTATGGTAAACTTGGGTCAGCTCTTCAGTTTGGGGAAGAGCTAGTATCAGGAATATGCTAAGGTGATGGGGACCATGAGAACTTGCATGGGTTGAAGTGGGCCTTTTTCTTTCCCGGGAGCCTTGGGTTCAGATTTTATCTCTGTCACTTTACCGTGTGGTTTTGAGCACGTTTGTCTATCCTTTTATACTTTTTCCAAATATATACAAAAGTTCTATAATACAATAGAAGCAGTGGTTGCCAGGGGTTCGGGGAGAGGAGAATGAGGAGTGACTGCTAAGGGGTATGGGGTTTCTTTTGGGGGTGATGTTCTGAAATTGGATAGTGGTGATGGTTGCACAACTCTGTGAATATACTAAAAAAAAAAATACTGAATTGTACTCTCTTAAAGGGTGAATTTGTGGTATGTGAATTATATCTTAATAAAGAAGTTATTTTAATTGAATGTCAACAGTATAGAACAATGAATCCCCATATACCCATCACTCAGACTCCCCAATTTTCAGCTCATTGCCAATCTTGTTTTACCTATACCTCTATTCACTTCTCCTTTCTTGAATTATTTTGAAGCCAATTTCAGAAATACTTTCTCTGTAAGTATTTCAGTATCTATCTCAGAGATAAGCCTTTTTTAAGCACAATTTCTAGCATCATTACACCTTAAAATAGTAACATCAGTTACCTAATATCACATATCTAGTACCAGTGTTCAAATTTCCTTATCAATGATTTGTTTTGAATTAGAATCCAAATAAGGCCCATATATTGCGAGTTGATGTGTCTTTTAAGTCTCTTAATCTTCAGATTCCACCTCTGTCTTTTTTCCTCCTTTGCAGTTTATTTATTGAAGAAACCAGTTTGTTTTTTTGGCCAAATCTCTATCTCTCGCTCTCTCCCCAAGTGTGAGGGATGTGTGACTTTTGTTTTAGAAAATAGTGAGTTGTAGATAAGGGACATTTGGACTGAGCCCTTCCATTCTGGAATTTTCCCCCATATATGCAGGGAAGCATCAAGTGTAGGATTCATGGATTCCCACCAGAAACCTGAACCTCCACTGGCTGGAGGGCTCAGCTGCATCTTCCCCCTCAACGCTGCCT